AGCCACTCCTTCGTTGCCCGGGCGGTGTGTTTGGGATCATTGTCATGCTGAAAGACCCAGCCACGTTTCATCTTCAATGCCTCACGATACATGGCCCCATTCATTCTTTCCTTTACACGGATCAGTCGTCCTGGTCCCTTTGCAGAAAAACAGCCCCAAAGCATGATGTTTCCACCCCCATGCGTCACAGTAGGTATGGTGTTCTTTGGATGCAACTCAGCATTCTTTGTCCTCCAAACACGACGAGTTGAGTTTTTACCAAAAAGTTATATTTTGGTTTCATCTGACCATATGACATTCTCCCAATCCTCTTCTGGATCATCCAAATGCACTCTAGCAAACTTCAGACGGGCCTGGACATGTACTGGCTTAAGCAGGGGGACACGTCTGGCACTGCAGGATTTGAGTCCCTGGCGGCGTAGTGTGTTACTGATGGTAGGATTTGTTACTTTGGTCCCAGCTCTCTGCAGGTCATTCACTAGGTCCCCCCGTGTGGTTCTGGGATTTTTGCTCACCGTACTTGTGATCATTTTGACCCCACGGGGTGAGATCTTGCGTGGAGCCCCAGATCGAGGGAGATTATCAGTGGTCTTGTATGTCTTCCATTTCCTAATAATTGCTCCCACAGTTGATTTCTTCAAACCAAGCTGCTTACCTATTGCAGATTCAGTCTTCCCAGCCTGGTGCAGGTCTACAATTTTGTTTCTGGTGTCCTTTGACAGCTCTTTGGTCTTGGCCATAGTGGAGTTTGGAGTGTGACTGTTTGAGGTTGTGGACAGGTGTCTCTCACAGACCTGTAACTTCTTCTTTAAGAGGCTCCTCTGTCCTCCACTCGTTACCTGTATTAATGGCACCTGTTTGAACTTGTTATCAGTATAAAAGACACCTGTCCACAACCTCAAACAGTCACACTCCAAACTCCACTATGGCCAAGACCAAAGAGCTGTCAAAGGACACCAGAAACAAAATTGTAGACCTGCAGTAACAAATCCTACCATCAGTAACACACTACGCCGCCAGGGACTCAAATCCTGCAGTGCGAGATGTGTCCCCCTGCTTAAGTACATGTCCAGGCCCGTCTGAAGTTTGCTAGAGTGCATTTGGATGATCCAGAAGAGGATTGGGAGAATGTCATATGGTCAGATGAAACCAAAATAGAACTTTTTAGTAAAAACTCAACTCGTCGTGTTTGGAGGACAAAGAATGCTGAGTTGCATCCAAATAACACCATACCTACTGTGAAGCATGGGGGTGGAAACATCATGCTTTGGGGCTGATTGAAACGTGGCTGGGTCTTTCAGCATGACGACGACCCGAAACACACAGCCAGGGCAACTAAGGAGTGGCTCCGTAAGAAGCATCTCAAGGTCCTGGAGTGGCCTAGCCAGTCTCCAGACCTGAACCCAATAGAAAATCTTTGGAGGGAGCTGGAAGTCCGTATTGCCCAGCGACAGCCCCGAAACCTGAAGGATCTGGAGAACGTCTGTATGGAGGAGTGGGCCAAAATCCCTGCTGCAGTGTGTGCAAACCTGGTCAAGAACTACAGGAAACGTATGATCTCTGTAATTGCAAACAAAGGTTTCTGTACCAAATATTAAGTTCTGCTTTTCTGATGTATCAAATACTTATGTCATGCAATAAAATGCAAATTAATTACTTAAAAATCATACAAGTGTACCTATGATAAAAATTACAGACCTCTACATGCTTTGTAAGTAGGAAAACCTGCAAAATCGGCAGTGTATCAAATACTTGTTCTCCCCACTGTACATACATATCCTTTTATAAAATATATATATTCCCCTTTATTACTTTCCAACCCCGCCACCCTTTCCCCACTTGTAGTAAACTAGTGAACAACAACACCTAGGCCTCTACTTCCAGCCCATACCCACTATCTACATTTTATCTTGGCAAAGGAGAAATGTTCACTAACAGGGATGTAAACAAATGCACAACATTTGAGAGAAATACGCTTTTTGTTCGTACGGAACATTTCAGGGATCTTTTATTTTAGCTCACGAAACATGGTACCAACACTTTACATGTTGCATTTACATTTTTGTTCAGTATAGATGTAAAACACAGGTCCACAGATAGATAGAGGCTCTGGGAGCCAGTCGCTGATCGGCTGGTCAGTTGATGTAACCTGCCACCGGCCCCCTGGGCCAGAAAAACAAACATGCGTGGGATTGCATGGGACTATGAACAGGCTCTGCAGGCACAATGCAAAATAATCTAGTGAAAAAGCCCTTGAGAATTTGACATGGAAATAACAAATCGATCGACCAATTTCACTTTTTCTTTCCTTTTTAAATAATATAAATCGGAATGTTCGGTCCAAATGTGCCTCCATCATTGTCACCACATTGATAATCTCTTCTCATTTGGTTAAAGCAGTGCCCCAAACAACATTATGCTGACAACAAAAATTATAAAAATGCTGGTTTAGCAGACAGAAAACTGAGTCGCAGTGGAACTCTCACAGCAGTTAGTCAAGTGACAGAGTTTCATGGGTTGGTCTGCAAGGTAGAAAACAGCAGACCAAGTTAGTCCCATTAATAGATTAAACATTAATCAGCCATATACTCAGAAAATGCACGTACAGGATTAACAAGGCCCCACATTCCATTGATACAGGCCTCAATGCTAATTTATTGCTTGATCTTCATGGCACAAAAACAATACAAATCTTTGCCATGCAAGCCAACTACATACAAAAACTAGCTTATACAAAACAAAAAACGGAAGATTCTTAGCCAATAGACTCTACACTGTATAGCAGTATTAGTGAGAGGTTACAAAAAAGATTATACAAAATAAAGATAATAAAAAAAGAACACACTCAGGTTTGAACATCACAGAAATTGAAACAGGGGCCAAACGTGTTGTTCAAAATATTACAAATTCTGACGTTCATCCTTCGATATAAGTTGTGCTTCTAAACAAGGAACAAATCTACAAACAAAAGAAGGGCTGCATTCTCAGAATGCTGTGCAAATAACTTCTAGAACCTCCCTACACTGTTCACCCATACATCCAGTATACCAAACCCTGCCAACCCAAACAAAGATTACATTACTTTGTTTTGTCCCAGTAAGAGACGAAGGCCAAACTCGGTTCAGCGCAAACGTCCTTCAGGCAAGACTAGATTCCCTCGATTCTGGGTGTGTTGGTCTGACTGACAATGTCTTCCATTATTCCACCTTCTGAAACAGATGCAGATCTTCACAGTCAGTGCCACTGGGGATGACTTCCATTCCAAACCATTCCTGGACAACTAGCATACAGCAGTCATTCCCCACCCCGCCCTAATGAGTGTGTAGGCATCTAGTCTACAACAGATCTTAAATGGTTTGTGTATTTTATTGCCAGGACTAGAACTAGTCATTTGAACAGACAACGTTCCTGCTTGGTCTTGTCAAGTCCAGAGAGCTTCTGAAGGATAGTGATGTGAGGCTGCCCCGGGGCTGACTGCTAGTTTAGCTAGGGGTCAAAGGTTGGGGTTGATAATATCTACGGAGTGGCAGGCAGGAGGCATGACACCAAAAGACCAGACACACCTCAGTGTCATTCCCAACATGCATCACTTTGAATCTGTTATAGTTGCATGTGACCTTTCAAATGAAGCCCAGAAGAACTTTGGGATCTATAGGGACAGGGTCAACTTGTTGATGTCAGGGTTCGAGGTGCTGTTGGTTCTGCTTTGCCGTGGTAAAGCCTTCTCAGAGCTCTGTGGTCAGTGGTCAGACAACTCCCCAGGACCTGACAATGACCTGGCTCTACATTGCCTGGCCAAACACTCTGGGTCACTATGGGACATATCCCATAGACTCCACCAACCAGCGTCATCACACCCCAACACTGCCATATGCTGTATTTAGTATAATACTGATGCAGTTGGAACAGCCTTAGATTAGAGCCAACTCCCCAACCCAATATGACACCTCACACAAAGATCCACTCTGCAACTGAAATTGAACGCATACAGAAAAAATAAAATAATGTACATATTTATATGCTAAAGTCGTCCAGCCTTATTGCCAGAAAATGGAGACGGTTAAGGTAACAACGCTAAGTGATGAACCCAACTGGCTGTCCTGCCCACCTGGTGTGTGCCAAACTCCTTTCAGTGATGACTGATGATCCAAATATAAAAACAACAGAAAAGAGAAGCCAACCAGTCCCAACTGATTAAAACTCCCTCAGTTTCCATAGTGGCAATTGTGTAATAATAGAACAACTGGAATAGCATAAGATATGTAAACTGTAGGTTCACTTTTTAAACTTGAGAGAATTACTCTTCATTAAAGAAAAAAGACATACTGTAACATACAAACATTTATGTGTACATATTTATGTACAAGAGACACATACATTAATTAATTACTTTTTCCAAACAAATCTCACTCAAGACGACATAAAAACATTATAGTGTTGAAGGATGACGATGGAGTTGGTTAACTGAATCCATGTGAGTCAATATCTGAAATAGGATGACCAGTGTCCTTGCTCTGAGGGAGAGTTCATTTTGTGGCCGGGCGACTAAAACACGCTACAAAACGCGAGCTCCTGTCCAACATGAATTCTCAGTATGAGAAACTACCATACATGAAAAGTTAATGACAGAAATTAAGTTGAAACAAAAAACTAAACTCTAAAGAGGAAGAGGGAATTCCTCTGAATGAAACAGGCAGAAAGAAGTCAAAAGGGTGTGTAGAGTCTTGACTGGTGGGATGAAGATGCCTCTTCTTCATCAGAGTCCTTAGTAAGGACCCTACACTGAACATTAGCTGGGGATGACAGAATCAGATGGGTGGTTTTGGGGAGACAGTAGTGAGATATGGTGGCTGCTGTGCCATCCCTCAGGGGTGCAAGTAGGGGGATGGTTGATAAGGGAGGGGCCATGTAGGGGTGACATGTCAGCCCGTGGTGAGGTGGGGGACCTTCAGTCAGGTGGAGGGAAGCAGAGTGGCCTCTCTCTCCCTCTTCTCTCTCTAGATAGACTTAGAGGAGTCCTGCTTGCTGATGAGCACCTCCAGCAGGCGCAGCTTGGCTTTGATCCGTTTATACTCTTTGTATTCGTCCATCATGTGGAGCCTGTCCTCCTTCTGGAAGTTCCTGTAGAGGGAAAGAGAGAAGGTCTGAGACACCAGTTGGATATGTGCCGGTTGTTTACTGCGTCGGAAGGCTGAACAATCATAAACAAACAAACTGTTGTTGTAAATAAGACAGTGCTCCTGTCTGAGACAACCCAAGCGCTTCCTCTGTCATGGTGGGGGGATGACTCAGGTTCTAAAGCTTCAGCATCACTGTATTGCATTCGTAAAGTATTCAGACCCCTTGACTTTTTTCACATTTTGTGACATTACAGCCTTATTTAAATAGTTTTTTTTCCATCAATGTACACACAATACCCCATAATGACAAAGCAAAAACAGCCCCAGTCTGAGGTCCTAAGCACTCTGGAGCAGGTTTTCATCAAGAATCTCTCTGTACTTTGCTCCGTACATATTTCCCACGATCCTAACTAGTCTCCCGGTCCCTGCCGCTGAAAAACATCCCCACAGCATGATGCTGCCACCACCATGCTTCACCGTAGGGATGGTGCCAGGTTTCCTCTAGATGTGACGCTTGGCATTCAGGACAAAGAGTTCAATCTTGGTTTCATCAGTCCAGAGAATCTTGTTTCTCATGGTCTGAGAGTCCTTTAGGTGCCTTTTGGCAAACTCATGTGCCTTTTTCTGAGGAGTGGCTTCCGTCTGGCCACTCTACCATAAAGGCCTGATTGGTGGAGTGCTGCAGAGATGGTTGTCCTTCTGGAAGGTTCTCCCATCTCCACAGAGGAACTCTGGAGCTCTGTCAGAGTGACCATTGAGTTATTGGTCACCTCCCTGACCAAGGCCCTTCTCCCCGATTGCTCAGTTTGGCCGGGCGGCCAGCTCTAGGAAGAGTCTTGGTGGTTCCAAACTTCTCCATTTAAGAATGATGGAGGCCACTGTGTTCTTGGGGACCTTCAATGTTCATAGCAAAGGGTCTGAATACTTATGTAAATAAGGTATCTGTTTTTATTTGTAATACATTTGCAAACATTTCTAAAAACCTGTTTTCGCTGTGTCTTTATGGGGTATTGTGTGTAGATTGATGAGGAAAAAAAATAATTTAATCAATTTTAAAATAAGGCTGTAACCTAACAAAATGTAGAAAAAGTCAAGGGGTCTGAATACTTTCAGAATGCACTGTATGCAGGTGTGTGTGACCATACCGACCTGCCGTTTTGCTGGTAGAACTCATCCTCAAACTGGCGGATGGTGTTCCTTAGCTGCTTCTTCTCAGCCCGGGTCTTCCACAGCTGCTCCAGGAGCTCAGGCCTGTAGAGGGAGACATACAGGAGGGGTCATCATGACAATCTCAACCAGGGGTTTCATCATAGAATTAAATGTAGAACACAGTGTGTGTGTGTGTGTATATACAGTATGTATGTATGTATATATATATATATATATATATCTCTTAATGGGTCTCATCTGAGATTAAAACAGGACGTCAGAGTGTGTTTAGAAGCAGGAAGTGACCGTGCTGTTGCCCTGGCAAACAGGTCAGGTAGTGACCAGATTACAGAGGTCAGGTTAGGTAGTGACTAGATTACATAGGTCAGGTTAGGTTAGGTCAGGTAGTGACCAGATTACAGAGGTCAGGTTAGGTTAAATCAGGTAGTGACCAGATTACAGAGGTCAGGTTAGGTCAGGTAGTGACCAGATTACAGAGGTCAGGTTAGGTTAGGTAGTGACCAGATTACAGAGGTCAGGTAGTGACCAGATTATAGAGGTCAGGTTAGGTCAGGTAGTGACCAGATTATAGAGGTCAGGTTAGGTTAAATCAGGTAGTGACCAGATTATAGAGGTCAGGTTAGGTTAAATCAGGTAGTGACCAGATTACAGATGTCAGGTTAGGTTAGGTAGTAACCAGATTACAGAGGTCAGGTTAGGTCAGGTAGTGACCAGATTACAGAGGTCAGGTTAGGTTAGGTAGTGACCAGATTACAGAGGTCAGGTTAGGTTAGGGTAGGTTAGGTCAGGTCAGGACCTAGGGCAGAGAGGAAGAAGCGAAGCGAAACGATTTACTATGCCGAAAATCTGTCCACGTGAGATAAGCCCTTTTTTTGTATGGAGGTCTATGAGAGTGTCAAATTATTTGATAGAATAGAAGTTTCGTAATGTTCAGGGCCAGGGTTACTCAACTCATACCCTACTAGGTCCGGAGCCTGCTGGTTTTCTGTTCTACCTGATCATTAATTGTACCTGTCTAAATCAGTCCCTGATTAGAAATGGCGTGGAACTGGCTTCTAGGTCCAGAGTTGAGTTTGGGGGGGGTTTAGGCTGTTACAAATGTACTGATATAAGTGGATGCATGTGGCATTCCGGCAACTTTGAGAAAAACGACTTAGTTGTGCCTGTTGTTCACATGCGTATCTGCCCACTTATTGGCTAGCCTGCCTTCAATTATTGAGGACATGTATTTCCATTAGAGCGGTCACTCTGCTATCTTGTCAATATAATAGATAATCTTTGCCTAGGGTCACAGCACCTGAACCAGCCTTGCTGCCTGGGCTTAAAGCTGGCCTGGCCTGGCCGCCCTCTCTGCTGCCTGGGCTTAAAGCTGGCCTGGCCTGGCAGCCCTCTCTGCTGCCTGGGCTTAAAGCTGGCCTGGCAGCCCTCTCTGCTGCCTGGGCTTAAAGCTGGCCTGGCAGCCCTCTCTGCTGCCTGGGCTTAAAGCTGGCCTGGCCTGGCCTGGCCTGGCAGCCCTCTCTGCTGCCTGGGCTTCAAGCTGGCCTGGCTTGGCTGCCCTCTCTGCTACCTGGATTTAAAGCTGGCGTGGCAGCCCTCTCTGCTGCCTGGGATTAAAGCTGGCGTGGCAGCAGGCTTAAAGCTGGCCTGGCCTGGCATCTCTCTCTGCTGCCTGGGCTTAAAGCTGGCCTGGCCTGGCATCTCTCTCTGCTGCCTGGGCTTAAAGCTGGCCTGGCATCTCTCTCTGCTGCCTGGGCTTAAAGCTGGCCTGGCCTGGCATCTCTCTCTGCTGCCTGGGCTTAAAGCTGGCCTGGCCTGGCATCTCTCTCTGCTGCCTGGGCTTAAAGCTGGCCTGGCCTGGCATCTCTCTCTGCTTACCCGGGGCTATGTGCTCCCTCACTCCCCTAGCCAGATTACTGCCTTATCCATCTTAAACTCCTCAGACCAGCCCCTCTAATAGCCATCAACCCTGTTCCAGGTGCTTTAAATAGACGTCATATGACAGCCAGAGCCCATTTAACCTCCACAGCCGAATGTTTAGGTTTGGATGTGTAGTAAACTACATGGCAGAGTTACACTGGTGACTGTGTCAGATTATTGAGGAATGAGGAGGCTGTTGTGAATTGAGTGTAGTGGCATTCAGAGGTGACGGTTGTGTGTGTGTGTGTGTGTGTAGGTGTGTATGCTCACATTGACGAAGCGTTGGAGCTGGACAGGCGCAGGTCCAGGGCCAGTTTCCCGGAGGTTTCCTCCATCTTGGGCCTGAGCAGGCTGTCTCTGTCTCTCTGGGAGCTGATCTTGGGCTGGAACACTGGGTCTAGAGCCATGATCACCTCTGACCCCAAGCTCTGGACCTCCACGCTGCTCTCCTCCTCGGCTGTGGCCTCCTCTTCCTCCACCTCCGCCTCCTCGGCTGTAGCCTCTTCTTCCTCCACCTCACCCTCCTCCTCCTCCTTGATCTCGTCACAGAAGTGGGCCGTCTCTCCCTCGATGATGGGCTGCAGGGTCTGGTTGCGTCGCTTGCTGGAGGGGGAAGCGATGATCGGGGTGATGCTGGCGCGGGTGAGCATCTGCTTGACCAGGCGGTAGCGGTCGTACAGCGGTTTGACCACTAGCCTCTCCTCTCTGGTCACAGGTCGACCATGCAGTCCCTCGTAGTGCAGTAGGTTCTTCTGTAGGACCGTCTTCTCACACGACAGCTGCTCCTTGGTCATTTTCTACAGGGAGAGAAATAACCATACATTGGCTCTTATGGCTATCCAGCTATCACAGGGATCCTTAAGTTTCAGGACAGAACTCAGTTCACTATCTGGTTGTAGCTAGGTGTGTATTGTGTCTGTATGGCCTCTCTAAGACAGTGTATTTTGCCCCCCGTCTCACCTTGGTGTCCTCTGGCCAGCCGTCCTCCTCTCTCTTGCCCTTGACACGGCGCTGGATGAGGTTCAGGGTGTCCTCTCTGGTGGGTCGGTGGCCCTTGGCCTCTCCACCAACATCGTGGCCTGCCTGGTCCAGGGTGGAACCAAAGCTCTTGGGCAAGGTGTTGCTGCGTGGCCGCGTCTGAGGGGTCAGCTCAGCCTCCTTGTGTTTGGCATCTGAGAGGGAGAGAGAAGAGACATGAGGGTAACTGAGGAACAGAGGGGTTAATTAACATATTAACAGGGGACATGCAGGAGCTTGATGGGCTGTTATTGCAGCTACCATGAGTCCTTCTGTCTGTCTGCCAGAGACAGAGAAAGGGGATAGCCCTGACAAACAACCATATGCCCACAGACACAAACACACCAGACTAGCCACTGCTACAGGTCTGTCTGTCTGTCTGAAGCCACAAGAGCATACGAAATTAATTTTGCAATGTTCTAAAAGGCATGTTCTCAAGGACCATGTCCATTCAAAGTAATAACACTGTTGGAATCCAGCTTCCACACTGTGGCTAAAGAAACTCCCACCCTGTTTACACCACTACACAGTACATGACATACTGCCAAACCCCAGACACTGTGGGATGTGCTTCTGTGTTACCAGTGGAGCTCGTCACTTGTGTTTATTGTCTACTTCACTTGCTTTGGCAATTTAAACATATGTTTCCCATGCCAATAAAGCCCTTTGAATTGAATTGAATTGAATTGAGAGAGAGAGAGAGAGAGAAAGAAGAGAAGCGAGAGAGAGAGAGAAGAGAAGCGAGAGAAGAGAGAGAGAGAAGAGAGCGAGAGAGAGAAGAGAAGCGAGAGAGAGAGAGAGAGAGAAGAGAGAAGAGAGAGAGAGAGAGAGCGAGAGAGAGAGAAGAGAGAGAGAAGAGAGAGAGAGAGAAGAGAGAGAGAGAGAGAGAGAGAAGAGAGAGAGAGAAGAGAGCGAGAGAAGAGAAGCGAGAGAGAGAAGAGAAAGAACAGAGAGTCTACCTTCAGTTGGAAGTATTTTTGGTTTCTACTTACTGCTGTTAGTGTACTTACATAGGTAGGGTGTCTGTTTAGAGGCAGTGAGGGGGCGTGCAAGTGTAAAATGGGGTGTGTTCGGGGCGGAGGAGGTGGAGGGGTGGTGGCGTCTGTATGACTGAAGCACCGCCTGGTGCCTCAAGGACCCTTTGGGAAAGAGATGCTGTCTTCCTGCAGATGGGGGATGTCCGGTTTTAGAATTTTAAAGAAGAGAGAGAAACTTATTCGGCTTTGCATCTCCCGATTGGGGGGGCGTTCAAATGGAATGAATATAGATGGATGGGGGGGACTTACACAATGGACCAACACAGAGAGGGAAGGCCATTATGTTAGAGCCACAGTTGGTGTGTACTGTAATACCCATGCATTGATGAGAGACTGACCCAGCTCTGCCCCCACTGGCCTGGGCAGTCAGGCAGGCGGGTCAGGGCAGGACCAGGCTGCCAAGGGGAGGAACAGGATGGCACACAAAAGTTTATCCGCCCAGTCGAGCCCAACCCACCCCACCCCTGGCATGGAACCAAGCACCCTCCCACTCCCCCCAACACAACCATGCAGACTTAGAGACTCCTCTTACCTTTTAACTGTTTGCGGATTTTGGTGAGGTCGGTCATCCACTTGAGGACCTTTGGGTTAGCTGCACTATCACCATGAGACGGCTGGGGAGAGGACAGTGAATACTGATGATGAATGGCATCCTCCCAGCTGATGACATCCTGTGCATTTATTCTAAGAACTAACTTGTTCCTCAAATTGCAGTATCTACAGTGCATTCAGAAAGTATTCAGTCCCCTCAACTTTTTCCAAATTCTGTTACGTTACAGCCTTATTCTAAAATTGATTACATTCTTGTAATTTTTTTTCTCATCAATCTACACACAATACCCCATAATGACAAAGCGAAAACAGGTTTTTAGATGTTTTTGCAAATGTATAGAAAATACATAACTATTCAGACCCTTTGCTATGAGACTCGAAATTGAGCTCAGGTGCATCCTGTTTCCATTGATCATCCTTCAGATGTTTCTACAACTTGATTGGAGTCCATCTGCTGTAAATTCAATTGATTGTCTATATAAGGTCCCACAGTTGACAGTGCATGTCAGAGCAAAAACCAAGCCATGAGGTCGAAGGAATAGTCCGTAGAGCTCCGAGACAGGATTGTGTCGAGGCACAGATCTGGGGAAGGGTACCAAAAAAGATTGAACTCTTTGGCCTGAATGCCAAGCGTCACGTCTGGAGGAAACCTGGCACCATCCCTACGGTGAAGCACGTTGGTGGCAGCATCATGCTGTGGGGAGGTTTTTCAGCGGCGGGGACTAGTCAGGATCGAGGGAAAGATGAACAGAGCGAAGTATAGAGAGATCCTTGATGAAAACCTGCTTCAGTGCGCTCAGGACCTCAGACTGGGGCGAAGGTTCACCTTCCAACAGGACAACAACCCTAAGCACACAGCCAAGACAACGCAGGAGTGGCTTTGGGACAAGTCTCTGAATGTCCTTGAGTGGCCCAGCCAGAGCCCGGACTTGAACCCGATCGAACATCTCTGGAGAGACCTGAAAATAGCTGTGCAGCGACGCTTCCCATCCAACCTGACAGAGCTTGAGAGGATCTGCAGAGAAGAATGGGAGAAACTCCCGAAATACAGGTGTGCCAAGCTTGTAGCGTCATACGACCGGGAGACCCATGGGGCGGCGCACAATTGGCCCAGCGTCGTCCAGAGTAGGGGAGGGAATGGCCGGCAGGGATGTAGCTCAGTTGGTAGAGCATGGCGTTTGCAACGCCAGGGTTGTGGGTTCGATTCCCACGGGGGGCCAGTATGAAAAATAAAAATAATGTATGCACTCACTAACTGTAAGTCGCTCTGGATAAGAGCGTCTGTTAAATGACAAAAATAATAATAATAATAATACCCAAGAAGACAGCTGTAATCGCTGCCAAAGGTGCTTCAACAAAGTATTGAGTAAAGGGTCTGAATACTTACGTGATATTTCCGGTTTTTGTTTTTAATACATTTGCAAATATGTCTAAAAAACAGTTTTTGCTTTGTCATTATGGGGTAATGTGTGTAGATTGATCAGGGAAAAAAACAATTTAATCAATTTTAGAATAAGGCTGTAACGTAACAAAATGTGGAAAAAGTCGAGAGATCTGAATACTTTCCGAATGCACAGTATGTAAATGTGATATTTCAGTTGTTATTTTATTTATACATTTGCACACATTTCTAAATACATGTTTTTGCTTTCTCATGATGGGGTATTGTGTGTAGATTGATGAGGGATAAAAACAATATAATCCATTTTAGAATAAGGCTGTAACATAACAAAACGTGGAAGAAGTCAAGGGGTCTGAATCCTTTCCGAATGCACTGTATCTAACCTTGTAGTTCCTCTCTTTCTCAAACTGTTCCTCAAATTGTTTGATCTTCTTCTTGAGGTTCTGTAGCTTTTTGGTGAGCTGGTGGGAGACAGGGTCGTTCCTCACAGCGCTCTCTTTGGAAGTGAAGGAGGCACGGTGAGGCCTAGATGAGACAGGTGAGAGAGAGAGAGAGAGAGAAAGAGAGAGAGAGAGAGACAGAGAAAGAGAGCGCGAGAGCGAGAGAGAGGTGGTGACCCTGCACCTGAAGCCTCAATGCAAAATCCTAGCTAATAAACACTGTTTATAAGATAGAATAACTAAACAGGAAAACATCAATGTCGCCCATCATGTCTATATAAATAACCATTCCTGATGAGTGAGTCAGAGTGTGTTCTCACCTCCCCAGGGACTGGTGGGCTTTAGTGGGCGAGGTTGCGTCAGGGTGCTGCAGGAAGCGTTGGCTGTGGCCAAAGTCCATGAAGCAGCGGGCCATGAGGGGATGGGAGTCCTCCTCGTGGGGCAGGGGCACCATGCGCCCGGCCAGGGGGGACAGCTGGGCCTCACCAGAGTCACTCTCATCCTGCCACGACTTGAAGGCTGGCACGGGGTCTGGGTGGGACACAAAGAAACGCACAGATGAGTCTCAGTGTGTAACATGGGTCATTATAGTTGGAGTATAATATTATAATCTACAGCATTGCAGTTCCAGGATCTAAAAGAGACAGGACACCAACACACAGACACATCCTGTTCTCCTCCTGTACAATGTATTAAAGTGAGCTAAAATAAATCACTGCCATTTTTGTTGAGTGCTCCAACTCCTTTCTGCCTCGAATTAGTCCTTTAGGAAGTTTTTCTTGGTAAGCCATTTTCATGATTTCTGTCATTGTTGTTGAGCACCCCTCCTTTCCTTTGGTTGCTGAAGGGCGAAGGGCCATCTGAACTATTGACTAAATATATTTGGAGCCTATTCATCTCTGGTAGAGCTGTGGCACTAAAGACATGTGTAGTAGTCTCGGATGTTTGGGCATGTCTGTGTGTGCCGAAGCTCGCAGATGGAGCGAGTGACACAGTCAACGAGCCTCGCTGGCTGTGCGTCTTGTGATGGGTTGTAAATCATCATGGGCTGCAGATTGCCATTTTTGCCTCATCTTCCTCGCTTATTAGCCTAGGCTACTATGTGTTGAAGGTAGGTTGCACATTGCTAGAATAATATGGAAATAGGCCTAGGCCAACTAGTCTACACATGGTTCTTTCCTCAGCTGTAGCCTCAACTTTCTTTAGACCTCTCAGTTGATTTTTCCATCTTGGTATTGTTTGCTCAATTTCACTTCTTGTGGCCTGAAATAAATACTGAACAAAAATATAAACGCAACTGAGTTACAGTTCATATAAGGAAATCAGTCAATTTAAATAAATGCATTAGGCCCTAATCTATGGACTTCACATGAATGGGAAAGCAGATATGCATCTGTTGATCACAGATACCTTAAAAAAAAGGTATGGGTGTGGATCAGAAAACCAGTCAGTATCTGGTGTGACCACCGCAGAGTGAAGGAAAAGCAGCCAACAAGTGCTCAGCATATGTGGGAACTCCTTCAAGACTGTTGGAAAAGCATTCCAGGTGAAGCTGGTAGAGAGAATGCCTTGAGTGTGCAAAGCTGTCATCAAGGCAAAGGGTGGCTACTTGAAGAATCTCAAAATATAAAACACTTTCTTGGTTACTACATGATTCCATATGTGTTATTTCATATTTTTGATGTCTTCACTACTATTCTACAATGTAAAAAATAGTAAAAAATAAAGAAAAACCCTTGAACCCTTTTGACTGGTACTGAATGTAAATGTGATATTTCAGTTTTTTATTTTTAATACATTTGCAAACATTTCTAAAAACCTGTTTGTGCTTTGTCATTATGGGGTATTGTGTGTAGATTGTTGAGGGGGAAAAAAACAATGTAATCAATTTAAGAATAAGGCTGTAACGTAACAAAATGTGGAAAAAGTCAAGGGGTCTGAATACTTTCCGAATGCACTGTATGTACAGTCGCCCAGAAGAGACAGCTAAATGCACAGCTAACAGCAGTGAAGGAGGAGGGAGAGAAACACATGGCATAGCTAACAGCAGTGAAGGAGGAGGGAGAGGAACACATGGCACAGCTAACAGCAGTGAAGGAGGAGGGAGAGAAACACATGGCACAGCTAACAGCAGTGAAGGAGGAGGTGAGAAAGCTGAGGTGTGACAGAGCGCAGGACACTCCCCCAGAGAAGCCAGCAGAACAGCCCACCTCAGACCCGGACCACAACCTCAATGGGACAGACAACTCTGCTAAATGATTAAAATGTAAATGTAAACACAGGACCCACCAACCCAACAGCCCCCCTGTCAGCTCCCCCGATAGCCCTCCTGACAACCCCCACACATCCACTGAGGACACACAAAAGCCAGAAATTGTGCTCCTCATTGACTCAAATAGCAAATACATTCAAGAGAATAAACTTTTTCCCAAACACAAAGTGGCTAAACTCTGGCACCCAAACACTAGGCATGCCCTGGAGCTGCTATCAGAGGCCAGACTAGGGTCCCCCAGCCACATCATAATTCACACTGGCACCAACGACCTGAGGGCCCAGCAGGAAAAGGTGGCCACAGCACTCAAGGGAGTGATTGAAAAAGCTTCTTCCACTTTTCCCAACGCACAAGTGGTTATCTCCACCCTGCTACCACGAAAATACATTCACCTTGCCACCATACAACGGGTGAACGCAAGCATTTCCCAGGACTATGCCTCAAAACCTAATGTCTACCTGGCCCACCACTCCACCCTGGACTTGAACAGCCTTTACGACCAGGTCCACCTCTACAAGGCAGCAATCCAAACTTTTGCCAGGACCCTGAAGGACGTCACACTCAACCGCAGCCCCAGCACCTCACACAGCAGCAACAGAGCAACGGACACTCCGCCCAGACAAGCGAGACACCCTCCCAGACTCGCAAGACCCCCTCCCGAGAGAACCCACGACAAGAGGACCTATACCCAGACCACAGCTTCACCAGCCACACCCCAACCAGCAGAGACCACCCCAAACAAACCCTGGCCACACCCTATTTTGGTCCCCCCAGATCAGACCTATGCCCCTTCTGCACCCCCCCATGCCCCCCGCCCCTGCAGCAAGGACCTCAACATGACAGCTGCACATATGCCCAGGCCGTGAGCAGAGCAACAGGCCCAACCCCCACTAATGCACCCCCCCAAGCCCCATCCTGCGACCTAAGAGGTATGTATCAGATGGTCAACATGCTTCGCTCACACCTACTGTAATGGTCCGGGCCTAAACCACACGAAAACAACACTAGACACTATGGAACACAAAGCTTTTACTATCTCATCCTGGAATATACAAGGTCTGAGGTCATCTGCCTTTGGCCTAAAGAGCAGAAACCCAGACTTCATCAAAGAAATTGGAAATACAGACATTGTCATCCTACAAGAAACATGGTATAGAGGAGACGGACCCACTGGTTGCCCTCTAGGTTACAGAGAGCTGGTAGTCCCATCCACCAAACTACCAGGTGTGAAACAGGGAAGAGACTCAGGGGGTATGCTAATTTGGTATAGAGCTGACCTAACCCACTCTATTAAATTAGTCAAAACAGGAAAATTTTACATCTGGCTAGAAATTAATAAGGAAATGATCTCAACATAGAAAAATGTCCTCATGTGTGCTACCTACAGTGGGGAGAACAAGTATTTGATACACTGTCGATTTTGCAGGTTTTCCTACTTACAAAGCATGTAGCGGTTTGTAATTTTTATCATAGGTACACTTCAACTGTGAGAGACGGAATCTAAAACAAAAATCCAGAAAATCACATTGTATGATTTTTAAGTAATTCATTTGCATTTTATTGCATGACATAAGTATTTGATACATCAGAAAAGCAGAACTTAATATTTGGTACAGAAATCTTTGTTTGCAATTACAGAGATCATACGTTTCCTGTAGGTCTTGACCAGGTTTGCACACACTGCAGCAGGGATTTTGGCCCACTCCTCCATACAGACCTTCTCCAGATCCTTCAGGTTTCGGCGCTGTCGCTGGGCAATACGGACTTTCAGCTCCCTCCAAAGATTTTCTATTGGGTTCAGGTCTGGAGACTGGCTAGGCCACTCCAGGACCTTGAGATGCTTCTTACGGAGCCACTCCTTAGTTGCCCTGGCTGTGTGTTTTGGGTCGTTGTCATGCTGGAAGACCCAGCCACGACCCATCTTCAATGCTCTTACTGAGGGAAGGAGGTTGTTGGCCAAGATCTCGCGATACATGGCCCCATCCATCCTCCCCTCAATACGGTGCAGTCGTCCTGTCCCCTTTGCAGAAAAGCATCCCCAAAGAATGATGTTTCCACCTCCATGCTTCACGGTTGGGATGGTGTTCTTGGGGTTGTACTTATCCTTCTTCTTTCTCCAAACACGGCGAGTGGAGTTTAGACCAAAAAGCTCTATTTTTGTGTCATCAGACCACATGACCGTCTCCCATTCCTCCTCTGGATCATCCAGATGGTCATTGGCAAACTTCAGACAGGCCTGGACATGCGCTGGCTTGAGCAGGGGGACCTTGCATGCGCTGCAGGATTTTAATCCATGACGGCGTAGTGTGTTACTAATGGTTTTCTTTGAGACTGTGGTCCCAGCTCTCTTCAGGTCATTGACCAGGTCCTGCCGTGTAGTTCTGGGCTGATCCCTCACCTTCCTCATGATCATTGATGCCCCACGAGGTGAGATCTTGCATGGAGCCCCAGACCGAGGGTGATTGACCGTCATCTTGAACTTCTTCCATTTTCTAATAATTGCGCCAACAGTTGTTGCCTTCTCACCAAGCTGCTTGCCTATTGTCCTGTAGCCCATCCCAGCCTTGTGCAGGTCTACAATTTTATCCCTGATGTCCTTACACAGCTCTCTGGTCTTGGCCATTGTGGAGAGGTTGGAGTCTGTTTGATTGAGTGTGTGGACAGGTGTCTTTTATACAGGTAACGAGTTCAAACAGGTGCAGTTAATACAGGTAATGAGTGGAGAAAAGGAGGGCTTCTTAAAGAAAAACTAACAGGTCTGTGAGAGCCGGAATTCTAACTGGTTGGTAGGTGATCAAATACTTATGTCATGCAATAAAATGCAAATGAATTACTTAAAAATCATACAATGTGATTTTCTGGATTTTTGTTTTAGATTCCGTCTCTCACAGTTGAAGTGTACCTATGATAAAAAATTACAGATCTCTACACGCTTTGTAAGTAGGAAAACCTGCAAAATCGGTAGTGTATCAAATACTTGTTCTCCCCACTGTATATCACCCCAATAGAATCCCCATACTTTAACAATGACAGCTTCGCCATCCTAGAGGGCGAGATCAACCATTTCCAGGCCCAGGGACATGTACTAGTCTGTGTTGACCTAAAAGCCAGAACTGGACAAGAACCTGAACTCTCAGTACACAGGGGGACAAACACCTACCTGGAGGTGACAGTATTCCCTCCCAAATATGCCCCCCTAGACACAACTATGACAAAACAACCAACAAAAATGGGTCACAACTCCTGCAGCTCTGTCGCA